CTTGGCCGGGGTACCCATTAGCAAAATCTCGGCGCTGGAACTTGCTTGATTGCCGAGTTGAAATACTCGGACAGACGAACACACACACACAGACACACACACACACACATACACACATACATACACACACAGACGGGGTCGTCTGAATATGCGTTTTGCAATTTGCATATAGGCAAAAACACATAATAAATGGACATGGCGTACCATAGCTCTGTCCTTGTTCTAAAGATCGAGGGGCAGTCTAGAACAGCCAGTCTTTTTACAAGTCGTTCGTTCCTTTCGATGATAATTTGTATTGTGGTATACGAGAGGATGAAAGCAATCTCGAACTTGCTTCTAAGCAAACCTAGAACGAAAAAGCCGTCGACAGCTTTGCTAGCAAGTGCTACCACCCCAATTTATTTCCAACAACTTCCGTCACTAATAAAAAATACGGTTTTGGAAGGTTTGTGGCTTTGTTTTAGTTTAAATTAATAGTTGGATAATAGATATACGTAATGAAGGGAAAATAAGAAAACAGTTAATTTATAAGACACAAAATGGTTCTGAAGGGGAATTTTGCGATCCACCAAGTAACTTTTTAATAAACAAAAGTAGCCCTCGGTGGCATAAAACAGGAATTATTGGAGCCAAAAAAAGTTGAAGGGAAGACAACTTTTGCCCTCAGCACAAAATTTCCTCGGAATCACCGATACTCGGAAAATTATCAAGATTTGTTAATCTCCACTCGCAAAGAAATATTTTCAGTCTCAGTTAGAATAATACATAAAAAGTACTGCTTCGCTTTTTATGCCGGTGCAGCGCGTTATCAGAGCCGTTAAGTAAAACTGCAAAAAAAGTGTAATTTGCAAATTGGTGTTATAGGGTACCATTGAGGACTGGCGAAGCGAGCTCAGCCCGCGATGCCTTGGCAAAAGCGATTTACAGTCGACTGTTTGATGCGATTGTTAGCAAAATCACAAAATGCATGCCGTTTAACCAAAGTGCATCTTCGATCGGGGTATTGGACACGGCCGGCTTTGGTAAATATTTTTCGGATTCTATTGCTGCTGTCCATTTTGGGCTCAAATAATCATTGAAAGCCTACTGCTGCGCTACCGATCTCTTTTATACCAAAAGAAACCAAAGCAGCTCGGATTTTCCGATCAAGATGGATATCATACGTTGGTGATGTTACTGGAATGTTCCCGTATACCGGGCACAGGTACCTAGGCCCTTTGATCCTCGTTGTAGCGCCCAAAAT